TTGGATTCTACCTTGATTCAAACAACATTTATGTGAGTGCACTTCTGGCTTCTTATCTATATGCCATTAAACAGTTATACACTATGGAGATTGTGTTCTCTTCTTGTTTTATGGGCATATGAGTTGTGATGTTTGAGAGTGCTAATCTGCTTGCAAACCGGTCCAGTGGAGTAGTGAATACTTATGACCTGCTGCTTGCACCATCTACTCTGAGGATCCAGAGGGGAAATATTTTGCTTTATGACCCTGCAGGGTCGTGAAGTAGAGGTGAGAGACCATTGCAGCCATTCCTTTGGGTCACATTGAGGGTGTGCTGACATCCACATCGTGCATGAACAGGAAGATCACTACACCATGATATGGACTGTTTGACACTATGATTATTTATATGTGATGTGTGTTTCACATGGTATTATATTTGTTATCCCTCAGCAGGGATTCACTTCTGTTTGTTACTGGTAAATTAAATCGTGACCCCAGGTGCCCTATTGGGACTCAATATATTCCCATGTGGATTGGGGTCATGATTGTCTATGTGATCACCTAAAGGTCTGCTCTCTAGACCTTTCATACATATATTTGTTTTATACACTTTGTCACCCATGATTGTTTATTTTAATTAGCGCTGCATCATTCATTATGTTTATTTGATTTAAGACCTATATGGTACAGGTTAGGATGCTAGCTGCTTTTTAGCGTTTATATTTTTTCTTTCTTTTCCAACATAAGAGCGCAGGAGGATTTTGTCTTTTTTTTTTATATGTATAGAAGTCATCTATCCTCACTGTGGATCCAGCAGTGTTTTGATTTAAAGACCAGCTCATCCTCCATTGGAATGATAGCTCTCTTAAGGACCCAACTAATAAACAGTTGGAAGCCCCTTTTAGAGCCATGTTCTTGCTGGTGAGTTCTGCCCTTTATTGGATTCTGGTTGTGTCTTCATTTTGCCAAACCATATTTGACTGGTCAATATTCCTTTAAGATATTTAACTGCTACTGAGGTTGATCCCTTGATTATAGAACACAAACAGAGAGCTTTGTAGTATTACATTTCAGCTGTTATGGTTTGTTAGAAGCCTTCATCTCATTTCTGTGTGTTTTATGTACAGTGATATGCATAGGGAAATTCTCTCTCCACCTGCAAGGTATGGCATGGTTGGTGCAAGTCTCTGGGCTCAAAGTTTGTTGATTGGAGTTTAGAGACTATATTGAGGTCTTCCTTTTGTTCTGACAGGTCCAGCTAGTGCAGCTCTATCAGTTGCTCAGACTATGGTGAGCTGGACTAGACAACTCAACAGTGAATGTTCTCCTGGTATAGATAATTCTGTTCTTTCTGAAACATTACAGCTCTTGCACTTGACCCTGATTGTGCATAGAGAATGTGATTTGTCAAATCTCCAGAATGTACTTACTTTCTGCATATACAGTGCCTTGAAAATGTATTCATTCCCCTTGAAACCTTCCACATTTGTTCATGTTGCAACCAAAAACGTAAATATATTTATTGGGATAAATATCTGAAAAGTGTAGTGTGTACTTTTTGGGGATGTCTCTAACAGCTTTGAACCTCTAGAGAGTGAAATGTTTGCCCATTCTTTGCAAAATAGCTCAAGCTCTGTCCGAATAGATGGAGAGTGTCTGTGAACAGCAGTTTAAGTCTTTCCACAGATTCTCAATTGGATTTAGGTCTGGACTTTGACTGGGCCATTCTAACATATGAATAAGCTTTGATCAAAACCATTCCATTGTAGCTCTGGCTGTATGTTTAGGGTCGTTGTCCTGCTGGAAGGTGAACATTTGCCCCAGTCTCAAGTCTTATGCAGTCTCTAACAGGTTTTTTTTTTTGTCTAAGATTTCACTGTGTTTGGCTCCATCCATCTTCCCATCAACTCTGACCAGCTTCCCTGGCCCTGCTGAAGAAAAGCATCCGCACAACATGATGGTGCCACCACTATGTTTCACGGTGGGAATGGTGTGTTCAGGGTAATGTGCAGTGTTAGTTTTCTGCCATACATAGCAGTTTGTGTTTAGCCTACAAAGTTCAATTTTGGTCTCATTTAACCAGAGCACCTTTTTCTATGTTTGCACGAAGCCATGTGGGGGACACAGCAAACGAGACTTCTTATGGCTTTCTTTCTATAATGGCTTTCTTCTTGCCACACTTCCATAAAGGCTAGATTTGTGGAGTGCACGACTAATATACTGCTCAAAAAAGTAAACATACACTTTGCAAACACATCAGATCTCAATGGAGAAAAATAATTATGCTGGATACTGATATAGACTGGGTAATGTGTCAGGAACATAAGGATGGACGCTCCATTATTTGAATTCAGTCTGCTGTAGGTTTATCATTTTCATCAAAGACACCACAAAAATCAAAGTGAAAAAAAAATTAAGCAGCAGGCTAGTCCATTGTGCTGAAATTTCATTGCAGCAACTCAAAATGTTACTCAGTAGTTTGTATGGCTCCCACGTGCTTGTAAACATGCCTGACAGCGTCAGGGCATGCTCCTAATGAGACAACGGATGTCCTGGGGTATTTCCTCCCAGATCTGGGCCAGGGCATCACTGAGCTCCTGGACAGTTGGAGGTGCAACCGGGTGGTGTTGGATGGACTGAAACATGATATCCCAGAGGTGTTCTATTGGATTTAGGTCAGGCGAGCATAGGGGCCAGTCAATGGTATCAATTCCTTTGTCCTCCAGGAACTGCCTGTGTACTCTCGCTACATGAGGTGTCGTGCACCAGGAGGAACCCAAGACCCACTGCACCAGCGTAGGGTCTCACAATGGGGCCAAGGATTTCATCCTGATAAATAATGGAATTCAGGCTGCCATTGTCTATTCTCTAGAGGTCTATGGATATGCCACCCCCAGATCATCACTGACCCACCACCAAAACAGTCACACTGAACGATGTTACAGGCACCATAATGTTCTCCATGGCTTTTCCAGACCCTTTCATATCTGTCGCATGAACCTGCTCTCATCTGTGAAAAGCACAGGGCACCAGTGGCGGACCTGACAATTCTGGTGTTCAATGGCAAATGCCAATTGAGCTCTAGGGTGCCAGGCAGTGAGCACGGGGCCCTCTAGAGGATGTCTGGCTCTCAAGCCACCCTGATGAAGTCTGTTTCTGATTGTTTGGTTATAGACATTCACAGCAGTGGCCTGTTGGGAGGTCATTTTGTAGGGCTCTGGCATTGCTCATCCTGTTCCTCCTTGCACAAAAAGAAGCAGATACTAGTCCTGCTGATGGGTTAAGGGCCTTCTCCGGTCCTATGCATCTCTCCTAGAGTAACTGCCTGTCTCCTGGAATTTCCTCCGTGCTCTTGAGACTGTGCTGGGAGACACAGCACACTTTCTGGCAATGGCATGTATTGATGCACCATCCTGGGAGGAGCTGGACTGCCTGTTCAACCTTTGTAAGGTTCAGGTATCACCTCATGCTACCAGTAGTGACACTGACCCTAGCCAAATGCAAAACTAGTGAAAACCAGAAAGATGAGTAGGGAAATAAAATGTCAGTGGCCTCCACCCGTAAAAGCATTCCTGTTTTGGGGGTCATCTCATTGTTTCCTATCTACTGCACCTGTTAATTTCATTAACAAAAAAAGCAGCTGAAACTGATTAACAACGCCCTCTGCTACTTAACTGACCAGATCAATATCCCAGGAGGTTAATTGACTTGATGCTATACTCTACACTTTTTAGTGTTTCTTTAGTTTTTTCTGAGTAGCATATTTGTCCCGTGGACGGCCATGTCTTGGTAGGTTTGCAGTTGGGCCATACGCTTTCCGTTTTCAGATGATGGATTGAACTGTGCTCCATAAGATGTTCAAAGCTCAGGATATTTTTTTTTTTTTTTATTATATGACCTAACCCTACTTTAAGCTTATCCACAACTTTATCTCTGACCTGTCTGGTGTGCTTCTTGCCCTTCATGATGCTGTTCGTTCGCTAATGTTCTCTAACAAACCTCTGAGGGCCTCACAGAACAGCTGTATTTATACTGAGATTACATTAAAACACAGTTGGAATCTATTTACTAATTAGGCGACTTCTGAAGGTAATTGATACTCCCAACTAAAATCTAGTGGAACCAGAGTAAAGGGGGCTGAATACAAATGCACGCCACACTTTTCAGATATTTGTAAAATTTTGAAAACCATTTATCATATTCCTTCTACTTCAAAATTATTTTCCACTTTGGGTTGGTCTATCACATACAATCCCAATAAAATACATTGACATTTTCCACATTTTGTCATGTTACAATCAAAAACGTAAAAGGGTATGATTATTTTTTCAAGGCTCTGTATAGGTGCAGAATGTTATGGCTTAGCGCTTGGTTGGCTGACCCTGGTTGAGAAAAGTGCCTTTTGTGCTTGCCCGTTGAAGGTTAGCTCCTCTTTAGAAAATACTTACAGGCAGAGAGGAAAGGGGGTTCCTGTTTCACTATCCATATTACATCCCCTCTATTGGTTTTTCCTCCTCTACACCCCATCATTTATTAACCTTAAACAAACTAATCTTAACCAGCTGAAAAAGAAAATTCAGTTTTTGACTGTGCAATAGCAATTTGAACTTGCTGACAGCAAGAGAAACAAGAATGTTGTTATAATTTAATTATATACAGTATATGTTACACATCCACAGGCAAGGTCCAGGTTGCGCATGCAGAAACAGCAGTGCAGAGTAATCGGCAAACAGCCTACTCCATGATGGGCTTAGACACAGATAAAACTGTGAGAGGTTAGGATCACATAACAAAACACAGGCCAGATCTAATAGTGAAAAGACATGTTTGGTTGTGGAGTTATCCAGTGGCATGTTACAGTGCATTAAGGCCTGCTGTTATTCTGGATGGGCTCTGCAACATCTGGTCTCTGTCCCCTAGGAGGAGAGCAGCAGCTCCAGGTACGGTCTGTCTTTATACTATGTAGAACTTGCTAAGGGGAAGCAGCAGTGCAAAATACACTCCCAGTTCAGCAGAGGTTACACTTCGTCAGGCATTTTAGGGGTGGAGAGTAAATTTAATGCAGGTCTATCTTGCCCCAGTCCCAAAGCGAGAAATGCAGCAAGTACTGTCTTCTTGGTTACAGTGAGTGGCGACGATGGCATCACCTATAAGACACAGGCAGAATAAACAATGTGCATATACATTTTAAAGTGGAGAACTGAATACAAGAACAGACTGTCCTGGCAGTCCACTTCTCATGCAAAATATGTAAGAATATTATATATTAAGGCCTAACTACTTGTCCCAGCACAACATGGGGTCCCATAATCGGATGGAGATGCTGAATGTGCCGACAGGGGTGTTGGGTAGGGATATTGTCACACTATAATATTGGTCCTGCAGCTAGGGCCAAAAAAAACAAAAACAACATTGGGGAGATGATACTCAAGTGTCTATCTAGGCTTATAAGAAGGGGTCGAGCTGACCAGTATACCTGCCATGGGGAGTGCCAGCAATCAGGTTTAATCTTTCAGATCAAAATAAAATGTGAAATCTTCCTTTACAAATATCTCCACAGTACATTTCTGCATTATGGGGGGCACTGAACGAGCTCTCATTTGGTAAATTTCCTTTAACACAGAAGCACCAGTACATACACTATAAGTGTTGTGAGGGGTAAGATCTGTCACCAGAACAGAGCAGGAAACAAATCTGCAGCTGAGCAAAGGCAGCCTTTAACACTATAACCTTTTTAAGCCAGCGGAGGCGAAATGTTTCATCACATACCTGCTCTACTTTATGTAGGCATATGAGACCATCATGCGCAAGCTGGAAAGTGGAGAAAGCGTCATATGTCCTGCAACGGAAATAGAAAAAATATTAGCACAGAACTACACATCGAGAAGGTTTATTATTCTAAATACACTGATCAAAAAAATTAAGGGAACACTTTTTAAATCAGAGTATAGCATCAAGTCAATAAATCTGGTCAGTTAAGTAGCAGAGGGGGTTGTTAATGAAATTAACAACAAGTGCACTAGATGGATGACCCCCAAAACAGGAATGGTTTTACAGGTGGAGGCCACTGCCATTTTCTCTCTACTCATCTTTCTGACTGTTTTTCACTAGTTTTGCATTTGGCTAGGGTCAGTGTCACTACTGGTAGCATGAGGCAATACCTGGACCCCATGGAGGTCGCACAGGTAGTCCAACTCCTCCAGGATGGCACATCAATACGTGCCATTGCCAGAAGATTTGTGGTGTCTCCAAGCACAGTCTCAAGAGCATGGAGGAGATTGCAGGAGACAGGCAGTTACTATACGAGAGCTGGACAGGGCAAAAGAAGGCCCTTAACCCATCAGTAGGACCGGTATCTGCTCCTTTGTGCAAGGAGAACAGGATAAGCACTGCCAGAGCCCTACAAAATGACCTCCAGCAGGCCACTGGTGTGAATGTCTCTGACCAAACAATCAAACAGACTTCATGAGGGTGGCCCAAGGTCTAGTGCAGGGGTGGGAAACTGTGGCCCTCCAGCTGTTGTAGAACTAAAAGTCCCATGAGGCATTGCAAAACTGACAGTTACAAGCATGACTCCCAAAGGCAAGGCATGATGGGACTTGTAGTTCACCAACAGCTGGAGGGCCACAGTTGCCCACCCCTGCTCTAGTGGGTCCTGTGCTCACTGCCCGGTACCATAGAGCTTTACTGGCATTTGCCAATAAACACCAGAATTGGCAGGTCCGCCACTGGCGCCTGTGCTTTTCACAGATGAGAGCAGGTTCACCCTGAGCACATGTGACAGACGTGAAAGGGTCTGGAGAAGCCGTGAAAAACTTTATGCAGCTGTAACATCATTCAGTATGACCGTTATGGTGTTAGGTCAGTGATGGTCTAGGGAGGCATATCTATGGAGGGACGCACAGACCTTTACAGGCTAGACAATGGCACCCTGACTGCCATTAGTTATCAGGATGACTTCCTTGGACCCACTGTCAGACCCTATGCTGGTGCAGTGGGTCCTGGGTTCCTCTTGGTGCACGACAATGCCCAGCCTCATGTGGCAAGACTATGCCACTGAATGGCCCCCCACGCTCGCCTAACCTAAATCCAATAGAACACCTCTGGCATTTCATGTTTCGGTCCATCAGACTGCACATCCGACTGTCCAGGAGCTCATGATGCCCTGTTCCAGATTTGGGAGGAAATACCCCAGGACACCTTCCGTCGTATCATTAGGAACATGCCCCGATGTTGTCAGGAATGCATACAAGCATGTGGGGGTCATACAAACTACTGAGTACAATTTTGAGTTGCTGCAATTAAATTTCAGCAAAATGGACTAGCCTACTGCATTATTTTTTCACTTTGATTTTCGGGGTGTATTTGAATTCAGTCCTCTGTCGGTCGATCATTTTCATTTCCATCAAACGATGGGGCATCCTTACATTCCTAACACATTACCCAGACCACATCAGTATAGATATCCAGCATGATATTTTTCCCCATTGATGTGTTTTCAAAGTGTTCCTTTAATTTTTCTGAGCAGTATATTTCCAATAGAACTAAGGCTTGAGACAACACACCCATTCCTCCCTGCATGATGACACTGCAAATTTTATGTTACACTGAATCATACGATATCCTCCCACCATCCTTGGTCAAGGTCAGCCTGGATCCGGCCAGATGTTGGAGGTGGATGGAAGCATCAGCAAGACAGGGACACATTGAATTCTGGGTCTCCTACTTTCCATCTCTCCGCTGTACTATATAGAACCAATATGAAAATGTACAAGTAAAATCCATGTCATGCACATAGGCATACATAGTACTGCCAGGGTTTAAAGAGCAAACAAGAAATTTAAAGTCTGGTGATGCAAAAAGTGCAGATCTCAACAACACTGGGGAAATGCTCTGAGCAGCTAACCAAAGATGTAAGGTAGACAATATGGTACAATATTATGGTATACTGCAGCTTTAGAATAGAAAAAAATATAATGCAGGGAGAACATCTTTCCTATTTCATTAAGTGATTCTATTAAGTTGAAAGCATGGGGTCCGCAGCTGCTCACCTCATTTACAAAATGCTAATTTCCTGGATGTCATGCTAATTCTTTGGCTTCCATGCTTTCTAAGTCTCTGACCTAGGAAAATATAGAGCTATGGAATGCTGACACTTGTTTACACCAAGCTTGTTATAGATCTGTGTCTGAGCCCAGACACAGCCAACAACTAGTGTGTTCAGAAGAGGGCCAGCTCTGGAACACCCAAACCTTTCTCATGATCAGGTCAATTTAGGTTCTACCACAATGATGACGCCTCATACCTGTACTAAACAAGTCTTGCTACACATGTTACAATCTGTACAATCCATTTAGTTTGGCTACTGCATAACATAGCTGTCAGTTGATCTAAACGAGACTACAAAATCAGATTGTAACTTGTGGAGAGAGCTTTAGACTCTCAAACCTAAACATTCAACAACACTCAAAATGTATAGAGGGATTAGACCCTAAAGAAAACCAGTCAAGACTGGATCTATTGAAGAATCTGAATTGGGATTAAATTGTTTATAACTGTGTAAACTTACTGCTAAAAAATTAAAATCTATTCCCTTTTTTTTAGCATCTACATGCTGTGTGTGGCATTTCAGCTTGTGGGGGGGATTCACAAAGTGTTTGCCTATCTTACACACTGTACACTCAGACAGCTTGTTGCTGAAATGAATATCTGTTGCCTTATTTAGCATCCATTTACTCTGACACTCCAGCTTGTGTCAAAGGGTCACAAAATTTCTGCGTTGTACCAAATATCACATACTGTACACTAAAATGCTTTAAAACAGTGTGAGCTCAGGCAGGTGAGAGGGCAGCAACTGTTAAGACTACAAGTGAACTCTCACCTCCTCCACACCTTAGTGTAAAGTTTGGTGGAGGTGGGATTATAGTCTGGGGTTGTTTTTCAGGGGTTGGGCTTGGCCGCTTAGTTCCAGTGAAGGAAACTCTTAAGTAGTCAGCATACCAAGACATTTTGGACAATTTCATGCTCCCAACTTTGTGGGAACAGTTTGGGGATGGACCCTTCCTGTTCCAACATGACTGCGTACCAGTGCACAAAGCAAGGTCCACAAAGACATGGATGAGCGAGTTTGTGCAGGCCAGTCAAGTTCCTCTACCCCAGAGTTCTAACCTCAACCTGATAGAACACCTTTGGGATGAAGCAGAGACTGCGAGCCAGGCCTTCTCATCCAACATCAGTTCCTGACCTCACAAATGCGCTTCTGCGAGAATGTTCAAACATTCCCATAGACACACTCCTAAACCTTGTGGACAATCTTCCCAGAAGAGCTGAACCTGTTATAGCTGCAAAGGGTGGGCCAACTCAATATTGAACTCTATGGACTAAGACTGGGGGGCCATTAAACTTCATGTGCATGTAAAGACAATACTTTTGGCAATACAGTGTATATTTAAAAAAGCCATGCAGAGTAATGATGCACACAATACTGATCAAATTTAATTCAGTGAAAGGTGGTTTTAGGTTATTTTGCTTTGTCTTGCTGAAAAAACCAATGAATGCTGCCACAAAGGCCTGTGCCTACACAAAGACGTTTAGATGGAAATGTTGACTCACCTGTACAACTCATTCTTGTCACTCTTAAAAATGTAAAAAAACAGACAGTGCAGTGGCAGGCCAGAGAAAGACCAGCGTGCATGGATACTGTTGGTCTCCGGATGAGATGTAAGCTTCAAGACTGAGATACGACAGTTGCTATAATACATCAACAGCAGCAACCGGATGAAGGTCAGGAAGAGATGATACTTATGCACACCACTGTAAGAAAGAAAAATCAAAGTTACACTTACAGTAACGCCTTTTCCAGTAGTCTTTCAGGACAGCACCTTGAGAGACCTCGGCTCCTCCCCAGTTGAGGAAACACCTCCACCCTAAACAAAAAGCACTATCACTCCCCTCCGACCTCGGTTCCTGGAATCGCACCTCAGGTCACCTGGGGAGACATAATCTGATACACCAGAACATACCATAAGACATCTCACACAACAATTCTGCAACACAGGGTGGGTAACCGGTGCTGTCCTGAAAGACTACTGGAAAAGGCGTTACCGTAAGTGTAACTTTGATTTTCCCCCTACGTCTTTCAGGACAGCACCTTGAGAGGATAAGCGAGTACTTACCACTCGGGCAGGCTCACTGCTTGCAGTACCTTATGTCTGAAGGCCTGCTCCTGCACCGAGACCAGGTCAAGTCTGTAATGCCTCACAAACGTCCCGTAACTGGACCAGGTTGCGGCCCTACAAATCTGTCCCGGGGAGGCTCCTGCCAGTTCCGCTTGCGTTGCCGCCATGGCCCGTGTAAAATGAGCCCCGATTCCCTCTGGGACTTCTAGACTCTTGGTCTGGTATGCCTGCTCAATTGCTAGCTTTAACCATCTAGCTACTGTGCGCCTGGAGGCTTTTTGCCCTTTCCTGGCCCCCGCAAAAGAAATAAAAAATGAATCAGTGCTTCGAAATTTCTTAGTCCTATCTAGGTAAAGGAGCACACACCTTCTTACATCTAACAAATGACATTTCTCTTGTTTTTCCCCCACTGGATTAGGGTAGAACGAAGGCAAAATTATATCCTGTTCCACATGAAAATTTAGGGCCACTTTAGGAACAAAGGATGGGTCAGTCCTGAACACCACCATATCTGGAAAAATTTGCAAATAAGGCGACCTGACCGACAGGGCTTCCAGTTCACACACTCTCCTTGCTGTGGTGACTGCCTCCAAAAATACAGTTTTAAATGTGAGGGCCCTTAGGGAGCAGGATCCTAGGGGTTCAAATGGTGGTTCCATCAACACCTTGAGTACCATTGCCAAATCCCATTTTGGGAAAGGTCAATTCCCAGGAGGTCTCTGTCTTGCCAGAGCTCTACAGAACCTAATTACCAATACTTCCTTAGCTAAGGGGGATTCTAGAAACACACTAAGGGCCGAAATTTGGCAAGAGTGTGCTGATCGCGAGCCCCTTATCGACCCCTGCCTGCAGGAATTCCAGCACCAACACTAGGCTATGGGTATCCACTGAGGCCCTGAAGCACCATTCATTAAAGCGCCTCCAAGCCTTCCTATAGATGACTTGGGTTTCTCTCTTCCTGTTAGCTAAGAGCGTAGCCACCACCCTGGCTGAGAGTCCCTTTGCTAACAGGAGTTGCTCCTCAGAAACTAAGCCGTCAGTTTCAGCATTTCCACCCTGGGACATAGGACCAGGCCCTATGACAGTAAGACCTTCCGCGGAGGTAATATCCAGGGTGGCCGCGTGGCTTAGGCCCTCAATGTTGCGAACCACGCTCGCCAGGGCCAGTACAGAGCTATCAGGATTAGAGAAGTTCTCTCCGACCTGAACTTCCTCAACACTGCTGACAGTAGGGCGACCGGGGGAAAGGGCGTAGCACAGAGGAAAATCCCACTTCTGTCCTAACGCATCCACTGCCCGCGCCCCGTCCCACTGGTTTAGCGAAAAAAATCTTGGGACTTTGTTGCTCTGACCTGGCACGAAAAGGTCTATGTCTGGGGATCCCCACTTCTTTACAATGGCCTGGTAAACCTCCCCATTTAGAACCCACTCCGATTCTCTCAGTTGCCGTCTGCTCAAAAAAAAAAATTGGCTACCCGATTTAATTCCCCTTTTAGGTGGACGGCAGATGAGGAAAGAATTCCTTTCTGCCCAAGACAGAAGCACCGTTGCCAGGGCCCTCCTTGTCTGTTCACGTAGGCCATCGCTGTTGCATTGTCCAAAAGGACGCGGACATGCTGGCCCAAAATCAAGCTCTGGAAGGAGCGAAGTGCTTCCAATACTGCCCTTAGCTCCCTCCAGTTTGAGGATTCCCCCCTTTCTACTGGAGACCACTCTCCCTGTACCACCGATTCTCCTAGATGGGCCCCCCATCCCTGGGCGCTGGCGTCCGTCGTGATCTCCCTGACCACCGGGAAACTCCATAACAGCCCCAAGTCACATTGGCTGTCTTCCTCCACCACCACAGGGATCTCTTCACTCTTCAATACCGACATCGCCTGCCTCAATGCTACTTCGTGGCTTCCCAGTAACTGCCTGATCCCCCTGTCTAATTTGGCGAGCTTCTCCGGGGTTAACCTGGTCTTCTGACAGGTGGAGTCCAGAATGTACCCTAGGTCATTCTTTGGGAAGGGATTAGGCAGGACTTGTCCAAGTTCAGCAGCCATCCCAGACTCTCCAGATGTCTCCTCACCACTGCCACATCCAGTGCGAGCCGATCTGCCAAGCCCACAAATAAAAGCAGGTCGTCCAGATAGGCTACCACTGAAATTCCCCTAAGCCGAAGAGGAACCAATGCCTCGGACAGAACCTTGGTGAAGATTCTTGGTGAGGAGGAGAGTTCAAAAGGCAAGGCCCGGAACTGTAGGTGATACGTCCCTGCTGTGCTCTGTACTGCCAACCTGAGAAATTTCGGAAATGCCTCTGCGATGGGCACGTGCAGATAGGCATCCTTCGGGTCGACGGAGGCCAGGAAGGCCCCTGGTGGAAGGAGGGCTCTGACTGAAGATCAAGTCCATCCGGAACCTTTTGTAACAAATGGACTTGTTTAGGGGTTTCAGATTTAAGATTAATCTGTACGCCCCTGATGGTTTCTGAACCACAAACACGTGGGAATAGAAACCCTCCTCTACTTCTGCCTCGGGAACGCTTACTACCACTTTCTGTGCCTCCAAATCCCGAAGCGAGGCTAGCAAGGCTGAGGCCTTCTCAGGACACCTGGGCAGGCTCATTATTAATAACCTTGCAGCGGTGGTCTCGAAAACTCCAGTCGGTATCCCCTTCTTATGATGTCCAATATAAAGGGGCTGGAGACCTCCGCTTCCAACCGTGTGAGGAAGGCCGCCAATCTTCCTCCCACCGGGGGAACCGAGTCACCGTGGTTTCTGGGGTTGGTCAGGAAGACGTAATATTGCACCTCCCTTGCCCCTCCCTCTCTGCCCCCATGTCCTCCTTTGCCCTTCTTCCCTAGGACTCTGTCTCTTTATGGACCGAAATTTCCTACCCCCTAGATCCTGCATTTTTTGCTTCAGGGGAAAGGACTTTTTCCTGTCCGCCGTACGGTTCAACACCGTCTCTAATCCCGGCCCAAACAGGAGATCTCCTGAAAAGGGGATTCCACATAACTTTACCTTAGACGTGACATCCCCCTGCCACATCTTAAGCCACAAGGCCCTGCGGGCCGAGTTGGTTAGGGCCGCCGACTTAGCTGCCAGCCTTACAGACTCTGCGGATGCGTCCGCAATGTACCCCACCCCCTGCAACAATGTTTCAAATGACGCAAGGATTTTATCTTTAGGGGAATTGACCACTATATGTGCCTGTAACTGTGTAAGCCAGTCTTCCATGTTTCTGGCTACTACAGTAGTGACCATGGCTGGCTTCAGATTAGATAGGGTCGAGTCCCACGACTTTTTAAGGAGGGATTCAGCTCTCCTATCCATCAGGTCTGGTAACACACCCATGTCTTCAAAGGCCAGATCCATTTTCCTGGCAATCTGGGAAAAGGCCACATCCAACTTAGGATTTTTGTTCCATAAGGCTGACGGGTCATCACTGAACGGAAATCTACGCTTGAGTGACTTGGAGAAAAAGGGCTTCCTCTCAGGATCGTGCCATTCTTTACTTAAAGTGTCTACCAAAACCTTGTGTACGGGGAATACTCCACGCTTCTGTTCCTCCATGCCCTGGTACATTTGATCATGTAGAGATAGAGGCTTTTCCTCGATGTCCAGCGTATCATAAGTTGCCCCTAACAAATCGTCCACTTCTTCCAGGGACAATTTGTACCTGGAGGGGCCTCTGGGGGTCTTCCGATGGGGCCCTCCCCTGCTGAGTCCTCCTCGGACTGGGAATCCAGGGAAGGCTCTCCTTCCCCCGCCTCCTGGAGTTCCCTACCCAGGCTAGTTGACGGAGCTACCTGCTGGGGGGGCGGGGGCATTGCCTGGGGAATGGCTAAACTCTCCATCAGGTTTTTGAAGGAGTCAAAGGTGTTGGTCAATTCCCTTACTGACTTGACCAAATCCCCCTGAACTGGACTCTCTTTCCTCACTAATCCCTCAATACACAGCCCACATAGAACCTTCTTCCATGACTCCTTGAGGGCTGCTCCGCAAGACGGGCATTTCCGCCTAGGTTCCTGGTGTTTAAGTCTTTCCTGGGCCTTACCCTGAAAAGACAAGAGGGAAAGAGGGAGAGAGCCAGAAAACCTATACCCCCTGGCTACCTGCCCCCCCTCCATTCCCTGGCAGGAATTAAGGGCCTTACCCTCATAAGACCCCCCCCCCCCGCCCTAGACCCTCTGACCACAAGAGGGCCGGGGAATACCTCTGGAGTTAGGGGCCCACAGGCAGGGGAGGACTCCACTGAGTCACCTCACCTGGGTCTGGCTGGTGCAGGCCTTGCCTGGTCCCGGTGCCTCTGCGCTGGACATCCGACAGGAGGGTGGTCGCCAATCTTCCGCGGTGTGCCTGTCCTTACAGGCTCAGGTCCGCGTTGCACCGCCATTGCCGCCGACCCCGGTGTATAGGGCCGTGGCCGGAAGCCGCGACCCCGGAAGAAGCCCCACCTCCTCTGCCAGAAATGATGTCTCCCGTCATCCGGCCGTCGTGCTCCTAAGCCGGCATGCATGGGAGGAGCGGGACTCCTCCCCGATCTTCTCCAGATCCCACCGAGGCCGCCCCGGCACCCGCAACTCTCCGGAGGGGGCGGCCAGCAGGTCAGTGTCACTCCCTGTCACCCAGGGCTCACCGCTCTGCC